GATGTTCTTGCTGATTTTCTGGAGGAGAGGCCTGTTGTGCTGATTCCCAGGGGCCTTTGCTCCGGCAGTATTGCACTGCCCTTGCCAGGGGCCAGCCTAAGTCAGGGCCTCGGGATTGCTCTATGTGGCTTTTGTTCCCTGAAGGCTTTCCGCACCACTTTATAGGATGAGAATGAAAATGTCAGCCTCCCAGCGTCCAGCCCTGGAGCTGAAAGCTGGCACCCTCCGCTCTTCAGTGTGCCCTCACGGAGAAGCTGTCAATCACTCTTATCTCCCTGGTTTCTGTCTGCCTTCTGTGTACACCCAGCCTGTGACTGAACATTTTTATCTCAGCCACACCAACTCCCTTTGGAGTTTCCAAACTTTGCAGTCTCCTGTGGCATGCATTCATGCTGCTCCTCCTGGGAGAGGGAGGGAGGTCTTGCCCTGGTTCTGCCACTTGTATGGCCCCTGCTCTGAGAGCGGTCGCCCAACTGGCTGCGGTTTGTGGTTTATGGCAACACTGAGCTGAACGCCCCCCTCCTCAACTCTCTGACTGCAGCCGGCTTCACTGCTCAAATGCCTGGGAACTCTCCCATACTCAGGCACCCCCATTCTTTCTGTGACCTTGGGGATCCTGAGATAAGGCTGTTCCACCTAGGGTTCCACCCTGCTTCTCCACCTGAGTGCCTTTCAAGCAGGGATGTCCCTCGCCGGAGCGGACTTCTAAAAGTTCCGATTTGCGCACCACTGCTTTATCACTTTCTGATAGCCGGCTTATGTAGGCTCCCTCGCCCCCACGGTTTATCTTCCCATATACCACCTCAGATTCGCTTCTCCACACCTCCTACCTTGCAGAAAGTGGTTGCTTTTCTATTTGTAGAATTGCAACAGTTCTTTTCTTAGATCTCAGGTTGAGTTCACAGGTCTTCAGAATGATTTGGGGAAAGCTATCCAGCTGAATTCTAGGGACCAACAAAACTATGGTCCTCTACTCCTCTGCCATCTTCCTCTTCTTCCAGAAAGTCTATATTCAATAGACCTATATTAATTGTACTTTTTATCAGATTCATCTAAATAGCATTACATATGTTTCTTCTCAGTTACCTAAGATTAAAATAAGTACGGATTTATTTTATTTATGTGATTATCTTTCTATTGAAGCAATCCCTAACTTAGTTTTAGTCTCTAAAAGTGTTATTTAAAGACCGCATTTCATAAGCTATATATAATTCCTACAGTAATGTCTCTTTAACTTGAACATTATAAATAATATTTGACTTATTTCAGATGCAGCGGGAGATGGAAAGGAATATAACTAGAGAACTAGAAGAAGGTATGTTGCCAAATTTATGAATTAAGATGGTCATTGATTTTGGAAATAAACTATGAATAGTAAATGGCATCCCTTTCCCTTGTTTGGATAATAGGTACTACATAAATTTTTTTATATCTATCTAATAAAAATGTAAAACATAAACATAATGAAGAACATACTTATTCCTCATTTAATCATCGTGTTTGTTCAGACTTTTTTTAAAAATCTCCAAACGTCTACATATCTGTTATTATTTCTGGCTATAATCTTTCTTCACTTCTGCCTCTCCTATGGAACCGTCAACCTGAATAAGTGGGCTTTCTCAAATTCTTGTTTCTGCTAGTGGTATAAGACCAAAAAAACCAGACTTGTCTTAGTAATAGTTAAGCAATTATAGTCCATATAGCTGTCACTTGACAGATGGTATTTAAATCTCCAGTCATTGATTTTGTCATTGGTTTACCTTTTGCCATTGAGTAAAATTCCAAGTTCCTTATATGGAATAAAAACACCCAAATAAATTTGGTTCTTGCCAGATTATTCAGCCTTCTCTGTCGCTACTTACCCTACTCTGTTGCTTTGCTCTAGCACTTCTTCAGCGTAGACTACTTGCAATTCCACAGGTGTTCTTCCTCACTCTTTGTATATGTTCTTTGTATATGTGTCTTCCCTCCACCTGGCACACTTTTTCCTTGTACTTCAGGTATCAGTTTACATATCACCTCCACCAAAAAGCAGACAATATTGATAGAAAAGTAGGATGTCCCTTTTGTGTGTTCTTATAGTGTCTTGTTTTATACCTGTCATGGTATATTCAACTCTAATACTGCCTGTTTGCTTTTTCAGTTTATAGTATATGGTTGTTCAGGGGTGGGCTCTGTCATCATCATGTAATTTCGTCTCGTAATGAGAAACTAGAAGCTCTGATATTTATCCACAATAGCAATTAACTTGGTGGGCAACCATGAGCAAAATATATTTAAAAGTCATCTTGTATTTTGTAGTTCTATGCAGATATTTTTCATTCTTCTTAACACTCATAAGGCTTCAACTTTGTTTTTTACTAACTTGTAGTTAACTACAAAGTTAAAATTTTAGATAAAGAATGTAATTCTTTTTCTTTTCAGCTGCTGCTGGATTTGAATCAGACTCATTGTGTAAGACCTCCTCTTTAGAATCTACTTGTGAACCACATGTAAAGTACGATCTACTAGAGAAATCGTCAAAAGGATTTTTACAGACTTTGAAGAAAAAGTACATGTTCTGAAAGATCAATAATAATTCATTTACTGGATGTTTGTATAACATCTTAATTGTGTCCTACTAAACGTATGATGTGTGAAAATCTTTATTAAAGGAAACAGGTTTGGATCATATGTGTAATGAAAGTTTATATAATATTTTAAGCTATGTTTCTTGGCACCTAATTAACTTTTAAGCAGGTTTTATATGTGGAAACCAGCACGGTTGAGTTTTACATGCTTCAGGCTGCCCAAATACCAGCTTTTTACACAGCACCCAACCAACCAAGTTGTCGTTAGTACTTCAGTGGTGTTAATTGATAGCCTTTTTGTATTTTCCAGTTTTTATTACTACATATGGACCTAGAGATTTACACAGACATCATTTTGATATATTGCTGCTAAGGTATTGTCAGTGTTTGTATATATTACAATTTTTATAGTGCCATAAAACCTATGTATAATTTTAATTTTAATTTCAAGTACTGATTCGTAGCTCTTTCCTCATGGTGAAATAAGATTTGCCTAAGGCTTTTCACCTTTTCTGTTTATTTTTGATTTACTTTTTGAAAACAGTCTTAAAATTAGAGAAAAGAAAAATTGGAGAAAAAAGAACTTTTCCACCCCAGAACGATTTGCAGGTAAATTGTTAAATTATGCCTGATTCCCCTAGCATTTATATCCTACAAGTCAGTACATTCCACATAACTACTGTACAACCCTGACAATCAGACAATTAACTCTCATACAATTAACACTTGAATAATGTCGGGGTTAGGGGCACTGACCCTTTGCAGTCAGAAATATGTGAATAACTTTTGACTCCCCAACTTTTGACTTTACTAATAATCTGCTGTTGACCAGAAAACTTACTGGTACCAGAACAGTCAATTAACCTGTGTTTTGTATGTTATATGTATTCCATATTATATTCTTAGAATAAAGTAAGCTAGAGAAAAAATGTTATTGAAATCATAAAAGAAAATACATTTAGAGTACTATCATGTATTTATTGAAAACATCTGCCTATAAGTGCACCCATTCAAACCATGTCAACTATACATTCTATCATTTTTTTTAAAAGATTGTATTTATTTATTTGACAGTGAGAGCACAAGTAGGCAGAGCGGCAAGCAGAGGGAGAGGGAGAAGCAGGCTCCCCACTGAGCAGAGAGCCCGACATGGGGCTCGATCCCAGGACCCCAGAATCATGAGCTGAGCCGAAGGCAGACACTTAACCAACTGAGCCACCCAGGCACCCTGTACACTCTGTCATTTAATCATCATATTTTTAAGTTTTGTCACTTGTCTGTAATATCCTATACGCACGGAAGGTCCTGTTCAGAGCCATGTATTTAATTCAGATGTTGTGTCTCTTAGTTCTTTCAGTTTAGAATAGTTCCTTAGTCTTTCCTTAATTTTCATGACTTTTAATCTTTTATTAAAGAGTTAATTCCAGTAATGGAGAATGTCTTTCAATGTGGGTTTTTCTTATGTTTCCTGATGATAAAATTCAGATCAGGGATGCCTGGGTGGCTCAGTTGGTTAAGCAACTGCCTTCAGCTCAGGTCATGATCCTGGTGTCTTGGGATCAAGTCCTGCATCGGGCTCCCTGCTCAGTGGGGAGCCTGCTTCTCCCTCTGCCTGCCACTCCCCCTGCTTGTGTTTTCTCTCTCGCTGACAAATTTCGCGAAAAAAAAAAAACTTAAAAAAAATTCAGATCATACATTTTTAGCAAGAGTATGACTGAAGTGGTCCTCTACTCTTCTCATTGCATCCTATCATGTGACCTACAATTTGGTTTGTCCCATTGTTGGTGATGTGAGCATTGATCCTGGAGGTAATATCTGCCAGGTTTCTCCTCTGGAATGTTAACTTTCCACTTTATAACTCATTAGTATTTTAGGGGAAGTACTTTGAGACATGTAAATATCTCCTTTCTCAGACACCCTGTGCCAGGCCACGTCTTCTGCAGATGATGTACTGCCCCCACAGGCTCTGAAAACCCCATGCTGGACTGTTCTTTCCCTTCAGTCCGTGATACCACATTCTCTGTTGTTGACCTTTCAGGGGTGTTCCAACACTGCAGGGTGGCTCTCCCACTTTTATGCCTTCCCCATTCTAGCCAGGCTCCAACACCACACTCTGGGCCACCACAGCTCCCTGTTTCTATGCTTTTGAACTGAAAATTTGGGAATAGAAAGAAGAGAGGGGGGAAAAGGCTCCATAGGTCTTTTATAATCAACTTGTCAAGCTTTACAAAGCAAAGATTCTGATTAGAATTGCATTGAATCTATAAATACTTTATAGGGAAAAGACATAATACTGAGTTTTCCTAACAGTATTTCAGTTGATTAACTCTCAATGTTAAAAAATTTCCTATAAAGGTCCTGCCGATGTTTTTTAGATTTATTCCCAGTAATTGAATACTTTTGACCCCATTATAGATATTATTTTCAAAAATCAATTTCATTTCCTGTTTGTTGCTAGCTTATAGAAATAACAGTATTCTGTATATTGAGCTTAGATTCACCTATCTTGCTAAACTGTCTTATTATATTGTTTCTCCCAATTCTGGAGGCTAGGAAGTCCAAAATCAAGGCACTGGCAGATTCAGTGTCCAGTGAGGGCCGGCTTCCTGGTTCATGGATGCTGGTCTTCCTCCTGTTTCCTCATAAGGCACAGGGCCAAGGGAGCTCTCTCAGGTATCCTTTATTTATAAGGGCACTAATCCCATTCATGAGGGCTCCACCTTCATGACTTCATCACTTCCCAAAGCCCCCACCTCCAGATACTATTACATGGAACATTAAGATTTAATACATGAATTTGGGAGTGGGGGGAACAAGTAGTCTATAGCAAGGTTGTTCCTTGTTCTTGGCCAGGTAGGCTTCCCCAATATGGCTGCTTACCTCATGAGGCCAACAAGGAGAATTTCACTGCAGAGAGGGCTCAGTCCTCTTTTAAGGGTTTCACCTGCTTAAATCAGGCTTACATAGAATAATCCCCTTTTGATCAACTCAAAATTAACCATCGTATCTGCAAAATTCCATTACATTTGCCATTTTCTAATGGCTAGAGTCAAGTCACAGAGCTTGGCTACACTTAAGGGCAAAGGATTATAAAAGGTGAGAACACCAAAGGGCATTTATTATGGGGTCACCTAGGGTCTTTCTGTTACGATTCTATTAACAAAGTTCCCTTCTACTACTCGTTTTCTAAGTTTTATCATGAATGTTGAAAGATAATAGATGTTTGTTTTGCATATATTGAGATAATTTTTTAAAAATTTGTCAATGTCGTGAATTACATTAAGTGCTCATGTCAAACCAACCTTGCATTTCTTAGGTAAACTGAATTTAGTTGTGATTTCATTCGTCTGTTTCATACATTGCTACTCTTGATATGATGAAATTTTGGTGAGGATTTTGTCCTCTCTGTTCATGGATAATGATAATGCAAGGAGTTTTGAATGCTTTTAACTCAATTTACATGGCTCCAAACTTATGTGTATTGTTGCTTTGTGTTTTAATTCTCTCTTGTATCTTTAAAAAATACTCAACATTTTTATAACTTTTATATGATACTGTCAGTGTTCATTTAAATTGAAGGACATATTTAATTATTTTTTTCCCCTCTCCTCTTGCATCTCAGAATTTCTACTTGGGATTATTTTTCTTCTGTTTGTTTATGTACATTCTTTAAAATTTCCATGAGCGAGAGCTGCCAGGTAATGAATCTCTGTTTAAGATGTCTTTCTTGGGCGCCTGGGTGGCTCAGTTGATTACGTGTCTGCCTTTGGCTCAGGTCATGATCCCAGGGTCCTGGGATTGAGCCCCACTTCAGGCTCACTGCTCAGCGTGGAGTCTGACTCTCCCTCTCTCTCTGCCCCTCCCCTCACTTGTTCTTCCTCTCTCGCTCCTTCTCTCTCACTCTCTTCCAAATAAATAAAATCTTGAAAAAAAGAATAAAAATGCCTTTATTTCCTCTTACTCTTGATACACATTTTCACAGCATAGAGAATCCTAGGTGAGTAGTTACTTTCTTTGATCATACAGAAAATGTCATTCCACTGCCCTTTGTCTCTCATAATTGCTCTTTAGAAATTAGCTGTCTGCCTGTTTCTCCTTTGAACATAATCTGTTCCCCACTCTGCTCCTTTTCCCCACAATTTTTGGTTGCTCTAAAGATTTTACTCTTGCGGGCGGGGTGGGGGAGGAATTCTTTTTCTTTTTGTGTTTACTGCAGGTACGCTATTATGGGTCTAGATTTGATGTCTTGCTATTTATCTTAATAATGTTCCATAATTAGAATTCCATTTACAGCAGCTCCAAAAACCAAAATATACCTAGGAATAAACGTAACCTAGCAGGTAAAGGATCTGTATTCTAGAAGCTACAGAACACTTATGAAAGAAATTGAGGAAGACACAAAGAGATGGAAAAACATCCCATGCTCATGGATTGGAAGGATAAATATCGTTAAAATGTCTATGCTTCCCAGAGCAATTTACCCTTTCAATGCAATCTCTTTCAAAATACCATTGACATTTTTCACAGAGCTGGAACAAATAATGCTAAAATTGCTATGGAACAGAAAAGACCCTGAATTGCCAGGGGAATGTTCAAAAAGAAAACCAAAGCTGGAGGTACCACAGTGCCTGACTTCAAGCTATATTACAAAGCTGTAGTCAAGACAGTATGGTATTGGCACAAAAACAGACACATAGATCAGTGGAACAGAGTAGAGACCCCAGAAATGGACTCTCAACTCTATGGTCAACTAATCTTTGACAAAGCAGGAAAGAACATCGAATGGGAAAAAAAAGACAGTCTCTTCAATAAATGGTGCTGGGAAAACTCGACAACCACATGCAGAAGAATAAAACGAGACATCCTCTTACACCATACACAAAGATAAAATGGGTGAAAGACCTCTATGTGAGACAAGAATCCATTAAATCCTAGAGGAGAACATAGGCAATAACCTCTTTGACATTGGCCACAAGAACTTTTTCAAGTCACGTCTCTAAAAGCAGCAGAAACAAAAGCAGAAATGAACATTTGGGACTTCATCAAGATAAAAAGCTTTTGCACAGCAAAGGAAGCAGTCAACAAAACTAAGAGGCAATCCAA